GAATTACTCAGTAAAGTAATTAGGGTATTTTTGCTTACCTCTAAGGTTTAGCCCGTAGTTCTTTTTATAGGTATTTTTGTGTTTTAGAATCTTCTAGCTGAGCTCATATAACTCTTTGTTGTTGGATCACAGAGACTTATGGACCGGGACACCTCAACCAATGAGAGAGGAGGGAAGGTGATCCCGGCCAATAGGTCGAATCCTAGTCGGCTCGGTCTTTCCTTCGTCGTAGCTTGGTTGGGCCTCTTTGATCTGGAGAGGTCCATTTCTTTGATCAAAATCTATCTGATAACATCTTGTATCTCATCATGCTCGTTATTCACATGAATTAAAAAATGAAAAATTCACAAATAAAATAGAAATTTGTTGAAGTGTGATAAAGTTAAAAAGAGTAGGCATTTGGGATGGATGAATATATTCCATAGCTTATATTAATTGTTGAGTGTCACATCATGGATGAGGCAAAGTAAAATGTGACATTTTGCTATACACGTGACAATATCTTCTTATATAATTTAAGAGGCTATCTTACTCTTTTATCGGTCAAACAACTTTCCTCATTATTCAACATTAAAATTAAAAAAAAAATATTTATAATTACAAGACTTTTTTTTTTCTCAACCTAAATATAAATAAATTAAATATATATAAAATAGTCCAAAATCTATTATACAACTCTCGATTCATCTTTAATATTTTAAAATTATCAAAGGGATCATCCTCAATGTTCCAAATATTCTAAATCAAGTCATTTTATAAAAATTAATAAAAAAAATTAATACATAATTACATATTTTGATATGTTAACGTGTATGTTACTTGACTCATAAAATCTAAGATGCTCATCATCAAAAGCTAGTCCACTTGAAGTTCATTTTTCCAACATTTTTTAAAATAAAAAAAAATTATCTTTTCAATAGAAATATCGAAGTGGTATGTCCAGATGTCCAAATATGTAAATAAATTTTATTGGTTTTTTTAACAAAAAGATCTTGATTAGGAATTAGTTTTTAAAGCATTAAAAGTAAACTGAAGAATTTTAAAAAATTAAAACCTGAACCTTTAGTATACTAGTAAGCAACATATCATGTGAAATTTATCATTTTATTACTATTACCTTAAGAGTAATTCTATCCATTCAAATAAAAATATCTCTCTCAATTCCTCTAATTTTCTCTCTCTTTCTAGATACTATCTTTCAATCTTTACAAATTTCTCTCTCTCTCTCCATCCCACCCTCTAATTTCTCTAATTTTCTCCCTCTTTCTATATACTATCTTTATACCTCTACAAATTTAAAATAAACTTAAATAAATGATAATTTGAATAAGGAATTTGGATTAGTGAATAAAAGAAAAGTCTAAAAGAGTAAATGAGAAAGAATAATAATTTGGATTAGTGGATTAAAAACAAAACAAATAATTCCTATAATAAGTCGAGTCGCTTTTTAAAATCTTTTGTGATATCTCTGAAATTAACCTTTTGAGTTATTAATTAGTACTATGAAACGAAAATTTTCTACTAGATTGTCTTTTCAGTTTGATAAAATTAATGAATTATATTTTTTCTAGAAAGTTAAAATTAATAAATTCATTTCTTAATTTGTTGTATTTTACTCTCGAATTAATAATAATAATAATAATAATAATAATAAAATTTCTAAGTTTTGGAGTACGTTTCTATTGAATTTTTGTTGTTAAACACACAAAAGCATAATTCTAATATTATATATATCTTGGCCACCTATCGAGCTCGTAATCCACGGAATTGCATTCCTATTCACCTAGTTCCCTTGAGCGCCTTACTCTAACTCTGAGTCTTTTGCTCTTCCAACTTAAGTTCGCGTTGGCAGATTCAAGAATGCCAATCAATTAAGGACTCCCAGACATACTCTTGGATGATCATCACACGACTCAACTAGAAAATGAAGAATGCAGCTAAGTCGTCTTACTTAAAAATGTTAAAGTGTTTCGCAACATCAAAGGCTTCTATTTCTCCGACATATTAGGTTGAGACTAATAAGTATATATATGTAATATTAATATTTCATCAATAGTATGCGAGTAATATATGCGAGTAATATAAAGTAAACAAAGAATAATAAATTGAGGGAAGTAGTTAAAATTTTTTAATTTAATGATCAAATTAAATAACACACGTGCTGAAAATACACATTCTAAATGTATTGTTTAACAAAATTATTTTCTCAGTTATTTTCTCCTATCATTATTTAAAATTTCATCAAATAGTTATGGCTTATTAAATTCATTCACCTACCGATAGGGATAATCAAAATATCCAATGCCACGTAAGGTAAGAAATCTTATTTTGTATTTTAACTTTGAGATTTGTTATATTTTGGACTATACTTTTTAAAATATATTTATTTTATTTCAACTTTCAAAATATATAATTAATTTTTTCTTTATGATTGTTGTCTTTCTTATATTTTTTTTTAAAATAAGTTTATAAACACTACTTCTATTTATGTATTTCTTTATTTTATTATATATATATATATATATATTTATAAAATCAAAGTTAAATTCTGAAAAAGAAAATAATAATTTTAAAAACTTATCATTGTATTTTAAATCTAGCTAAGAGCTTGGGTGTATGTTTTAAAACATGTGATAAATATATTAAAAAAAATTGTAAGAAAGTAAACATGTATAATTTTATAAAACATAAAACTAATTAGATTTTTAACTAAAAAAATATTTTTGTCATTTCTATTATTGTACCAGCTAATATTAGCCACTAAATATCTACCTCAACCAACTAATGTAAGCTTCCATACATATGCATGTTTTAAAATATTCAAAAATCACATTATTCTTATAAATTTATTCATATGTTTATGCTATTGAAAGCAAACAAATAATGCCAATGACTAAAATCACTATCGTTTTTTTTAATTATTGTTTAACAACTAGAATGGGTATTTAAAATATTTAGGGACTAAAAACAGAACCAAACTTTGAAAGTTTATAGATTAAGATAGATGATTCAAAAGTTTAGAAATAAAAAAAAAAACTATAAATTTGGGTTAATTCTATGTAATTTTTAGATTTTTTCAGAACTAAAGTCTAAAAGGTATATTTTATTTAGATTAAAATTGAATAAACCAAAATTAAATATTGAACAACCTAACATATTTTATAGAATTGAATGGTGGAGATATTTCTATCCTTTTTTTACAAGTTGAAGATTCAAATGTGCACCTAAATTTATAATACAAAAAAAAGGAACAAAAAGGTGTATTATTTTAGGAGTAAACATTAAAAGAAATAGGAGAAAGAAGTTGAACTT